AACATTAAAGGGCACTTTCTCCAGTAATTCAGGACAATCAATTTCATGATTGATTAATTTATATAACCAAAGTAAATCATAGTAATTTCTACGCATTTGAAGAGAATCTATATAATACTCACAAGCTAACTTATCAAGAGGTAAATTTAATTTATTAGTTTTAAACGCCAAGAAACGCCAAGTGAAATTACGTCACTATTTAATAGCAAAATAAAGATATAAAATTTTTATATGCTTTAATAATAATAATCGCATTTGAATTTACAGAAAACTGTTACTGCATTTCTGGTTTCTACAATAACAAAAAATTGCTGAAACATTTATGTATTCATATGATTTACATGAACGTCTTTGGGCAATCAGATATTATATTAAAAAGATGTATACTTTTTTTTATAATTAATGTAATAATTATGTTAAGAAAATCAAAATTAAACGACTTTGAGACTGATTTCACATAATTTTTAGAATATCTAAAATGATATTCTTAATTTTTCCTGATTTTTTTTATCATAATCTATATATATATATATATATTTGTTAGAAATATTAAAGTAAGGCTTAACAAAAATTAGAAAATGATTAAAAATGTTTTAAATTTAAAATAAAAAACATAAAAATTCACGGATACGTATTTCAGGAACAATTTTATAACATTATTCTCGAAATAATAGTATACTGTTATCAACGCTATACACATACTGAATGTTTAATTAATTTTTATATTAAATATTTTTTTTTTTAGTATTTAATTAATATTTTTAATAATATTATCCACGATTGATTAATTCTTATTATAGTAAATTTATTTTTAATAGTTGGAAAATTATTAAATAATGCATATTTATAATAAGAATAAACCAAATTATTCTTTTATTTAACTTCAAATTTTATTTAGTCATGTTTTAACGACAGCATTAGTAAAGCGAACAACCATTTGAAATAATGAAAACGTATTACATGATAAACCTGATTTCAAGAGTGCCACAAAATATATGGGTTTTACATATAATGTTATTCGTTAAATGTATAATTTAGAACTATGATCGTGATTAGTTAATAAATGTCTTAATAATGGTATAATGTTTGAAAAAAGGGGAAAAATGTGTAAAAAAACATTTAAAAGTTTCTAAATTATATAATTCATTCATTAATAAGCCAAAAGAAATCAAACATACAAAATATTCAATACAAAATTTACAATTTAAATTTGCTGTAGTATAAATCAATTTGTGTATATGAGACTATTAGACATTATTGTAATCGTGCCTGTAGTGTCTGGCCTATACTTGGGAAATAGCAAAATTTAAGTATTATGCTTGTCTCCTTTTTAAATAAAAAGAAAATAAATTCTAGGGAAGACTTTTGGGGGATAAGTTGATTTACTTTTACATATTTGTTTTTGTATTGGCTTATATTGAACAACAAATTGTTTTATTGTATTCGTGGGTTATTATAGCGGTCTCTAGTGGAAACAATTAATAACATAATATTTTCTTAAAGTCGTGGGTTAATATAGCGGACTCTAGCGGTAAAAGTTAGTAGCATATATCCGGCAACCTAATTGTTACCACATTTTTAAATTGTTACGAAATTGCTCACTTCACAATTATCGAATTTATGCTATCGAATAAGTGCCATAAGCGCAAATAAAGGAGTACTCTGGCTTCTAAGCACTTCCAAGCAAATTTCGCCATTCCTTTAAAATCTTTTATAATTCCTTATATTATTATATAAATAATTACTGTTTTTCATTTAAATATTTTTTTGTAATAATAAAAATGTGTACAACGTCTTTGGTATAAATTGTGTATTTTACTTTAAATATAATATATGTTGTTTTCAACAATTATAGTTTAAAAACTACAATTGTAATTTAAATTTAAAAACTTATATTAATATAAAAAAGTTGAAAAACTCTTAATTTAAAGAAAAAAATGTAATAGCACAAAATTCCAAAATCTTTAATTATTTAGAATCTAAATAATTAAAAATAATAAATAAAATCTAAATTTTAGATTATAAACAAGATTTTTAATTTATTGCAAAAAAATAAAAAATTAACAATAAACTTTCAACTTGGTAATTTCATGCATGACAATGACGTCATCTAAGTGTGCATGTATTTTTGTTTTAGAGTAGTTTAGAGAAATTATTAATTTTTTATAACTCTAGTAGATAAATTGAACTTAACCCATTTTAAATTGTAACTGCTATATTTGACATAATAATAAAATAGACAAAAAAATTGCAAACAATTGTAAATATATATATATATATATATTTTTGACTGATAAATTGTTTTTCTATTACAGAATGTTAAAGTTAAATGAATTGTGTTCAATTTTTCAAGTTCAGAGATTCTTATTAAAAAAAAAATTATAAATATTTTTAATTTTAAATTATTATATTAGTTTCTAAGAAAATGAGTATCTTACCCAAAATCGATTCCTATTTATAATTTAAATGATATATTATTTAATCTGTATTATAGATTAAAATCAGAAATATTTATATTTATTATACTATTTAGCAAGAAATTAAATATGTTCTATTTCCTTTTATTTGACTTTATCTATCTATTTTTAAATGTATTATTATAAAAAGTAATCTTTCTATATATGTACATATTAATTTATTTTTATTGACAAAAAATATGTAATCCTATATTTCATCTACTAGAAAAAATCAAAATATTTGTTATGTTATAAAATATATTTTTTTAATGTATATAATTTTTCAATCAAAAATAAAGTTGTAAAATTATGCAACAATATCTTTATTTTTTGGTCTAATTATTACTTTGTTAGCTTTTTAAGACAATGTTTTTTCGTATAATCTTAGATATTTTTAAATTTTCTAAGAGGATATTTATAAATAAATTAAGCTGCAGTTCTAATTTAAAAAAACCCAGCACAGGGGGGTCGCGGCACAGTGGTGACGTGACATAGTTGGATCAAGTATAATGATATCTGACAGTGATTAAAATCACTATCAAAAATAAACGCTTCGATGCAAATCATTAGATTTAATTTTAAAAAAATTGGTGTTTTATTCCAAAAGCTACTTGATCTGCTGGTTCCTTATTAATATCTCGATTAAGATAAAGTATGTCGAATGAAAAAGGATTTATTAAAAAAATATTATTTCTCATAAAAAAATTGTGTGGATCCATAAACTTAATAAACTCCATAAACTTCAATAAGTTATAGCATTATATAGTTAAATATAATATAAATAATAAAATCGAGAATTTTCACACGAAAATAGCATTCGGTAGCCATTTTTGCCGTGAAGACAAGTCCAGAGGTCAAATTTTTTTTTTTCAAATTAAAGTATATTACATTAGCTTTAATTTAAGATATATATAAAAGTGTCAGACCTTCCGGAACATTTTCAAAAGTTATGTTGAAAAAGTTAATTTTTTGTGAAAAAGTTTTCAATCCCCCAAGTGGGCAGGTTAAAGGTCAAATTTACAAAAAAAATATACCAAAAAACATCAAGAATCTATATAAAAAAAATTATATTGATATGTTCATTTTTGAAAAAGTTAGAGCATTATTAAGTTAAAAATATAAAAAAAAATTATTTTACAAAAATCGTAATTTTTTATTAACTTTGATGTCAACTTTCACCACGAAGACAAGTCCAGAGGTCAAATTTTTTTTTTT